CCATGTCGAGAAAATTAAATACAAAATGCAAAAACCGACCTGTTCACAGATATATTATTGAATCTTTGCAGTAGCGACAACGGAATTGGCTCGTTTTCCGCGCACGACGGGAATCAATAAGACCAATAATATGCCAGATTGTGCAATTATCATTGAATTCTCTTGCTGATGATTGTAAACGCGCGTTCGTATTCTGGTAAAAGCATGCGTGTGTTACGGCAGCGAAATCCTTCCGTAGTGTCTCTAGCGTGGCATAATGTCATGTGCCGGCATAAAGATCCGATCCTATATGTGTCCGAGTTACATACCGTGCCACGTGACCGTACATCACTTTAACTACTTCCTGGCTCGGTACAATTCTGCCAGCTCACGCGGCCGCGAAGGATGGTGCTCATCTTTTCCGAGAAATCTCGATGAATTACACGATGTGTCGATGATAGTTTAAAATTCGAGTATATTGATGCATCTTGAATTATTTTGAGAATTATTAATGGTTAAGAATAGATATTCTTTTTTACGATATCACGCATACAACATTTACGTTTAGAAGAGAATTTATCTTTAAAAATTTACATTTAAAAGAGAAAATTTACTTTTAAGAATTTTTATGTGGAAAATAATATTGTCTTTTTTTTCTTTTTTTACATATAATCAGAAAACAAGATTTTTTAATAAGAAAAATATATGTAATCGGAAGGAAGATTAAAAAAATCGTACAAATATGTGATTTGGTATATTTATTTATTCAGTATATGTGTCTAAATCAGACTGGTTTGATAAAATTATATAAATTAAGTAAATGTCTTTTTCTCACTTTTTTTGATCAGTTTAATGCAAAAATGTTATTTGTATAATTGTTCGCATCGTTTGGTGTCGGAAAGTTTTCAGCGTGAGCTTCCAACAAGTGAGCGCGAAGTTCCTTGGCGAAATTTGTGCAAAACGGATCTTCTTTTTTCTTCTTGCAAAATTGGCATTCGTAAATCGTCTTACCAGGATGTAGATTCGTCATTAGTATATGCTTTCGGAGATTTTCCTGCGAACAGAAGGATTATTCATAATCTAAGCGGAAACAATTGATTAGATTAGCATCTCATAAGAGAGGCTGCTGACAATCGATTAAAATCCCGGTATTTTTAACGACCGCGTAATTAATAGCCAATCAATAATCGATATTTCCATATTCTAACGGCTTTTATTAGACGAGTCAAGCACGTTTTACGAGCACACTGTTCGATAGTTTTACGCAGCCCTCCAATTCCCATTGAGTTTCTCTGAACGGTCTAGTGGCCGTTCGGGCATCGCTATTAAAATTTCATTCGAGCTCGAAGATTACGCACGCGCGCGCGTGCGCATACATACAAAGAAATCTTTCAGTGCGATCGAGCAGTGATCGAGCCTGACGCCGAGTTGAATCTCGAATCGAGTTCGCATTTGTTGGATATACCTGGATATATCTTGGTAGTGTACGACCGGGGAATCGGTTCGCCGCAACAAACCGAACGCACGCGCTCATTGGCTACGCCGTTGGCGCATTTAAAAGCGCTTTTACCCTCTCCGGGCTAAGTAGCCGGCCATAGTCGTAAACATCTTTCTACCAGGCGGGCTTATACGAGCCGCTGATGGCAACGCGGCAACATCAAATTTAATTTCTCATAAGTAAATCTTTCCGCGGGCACTGCTCCGTGACGGGCGCGCAGATTAAGCCTCGTTCACACCGCCATGGGCGGTCGCGCGAAACGGAAAGAGCGGGCATACGCTGTCACGCAAATCTGGCATGATGCCGGTTTCGTTAGGACGATCGATTCGGATTGCCACAAGTTTAATTTCCTCCCCCCGTATCGAACAACCGCGTGCTACTGTAGGCAGTCCGAGACGGAAGGATGTACGGCGCATTTACGACCGCCGTGAGTGGATGGTGACTTTACGAGCCTAATAATTTTTGGGTACCTGCAGAAGCAGCAAGAGAAGATGTTAAAGGAAGATGTTAAAGGGAGCAAAAGGATATTAGAAGAAATGTATTCTGTTTTTTAATATATTACTTGGCAATATTTGATATTGGAATATTTCAAGTTTTAACATTTTTACGACTATATGTCATATATGTATGTATTATATTAAGACTAGAATTTATCAAAAATTACGCGGTAAATAATTTTTGCCGCGTAATTTACTGTTACTAAAAAATAAATTATATAACTATAATTCTATAACTATAATTCTGTAACTATAATTCTATAACTATAATTCTGTATTTATTTTAAATTTTATGCTGGTATTTGATAAATCTGTAAAGTCATACTAATTTGGAAGTCATATATTGTGCATATTTCAACTTTTTCTCGCACATCTTTTAAATTACTGTCAATATTAATTTTCTCTCGCAGGAAAGAGAAAAAAGTGATTAATAAAGCGATTAAAACATAAACGAATATGTGACTGATACAAAAATCATTCAGAATGGGCAAATCAATTGTATTCTCAATTATGTGAATAAATTATAAATTTATAAGAAGAGAATATGAGAAGGAGAAAAATAAGGGATCTGATCTCATCTCAAATTAATCCTTTATTGAAGATCAAGATTTAATTTGTTCACTTTTTTTTTCTTCTTTCGCTAAACATTTTATGAATAAATAAAAAGTAATCGCGTATTATGCGGTGTAATAACGTTGACATATGATTCCTTGTTAACTCAAGTCACAAGATTGCGAAATGTTATACTCAATGAAAGGTACAAAGGAACAAAATTTATAGATAGCGGCATTCACAAGACATCGATGAGCGATGCAAAACATTGAATTGTAAAAACAGTATGATCATTCTATACAAATCTAACAGATAATTAAATAAATTTAAAGAAATGAAATTAAATAAATGGAAAGAATGTTTATAATAGAAATAACTAGAATAATTAGAATAACTAGAGTAGAAATAAGGCATTAATTGATGAAATCAAATTATTCTCATCATATCTACAACATAATAATAATAATGATACATATAAAACAGCTGAAACTGTTTTCTATGTAGCATTATTAATTCACAAATAATAAAATCATCAGGAAATACGATACGTTACTTCATCCTAATATTCGTTTACCACGGATTGTAGTTTATCATGATAAAAGAAGCGACTTTTCGACAACTCTCAGAAAGATGAGGGAAACAGAACTTAAGTTCCGGATTCAGCGTTAACCGATGTCGGCTCGAGAAGAGTTTACCACCCTCAACGAAAGTTTTCCAAGTGCCAGCGGTAGCGAGCCGATGAGCGAGATCCAGGGGGATGACTTCGACACGAAGGCGAAAGTGTCGGTCGACAAAAAGAGGCCTGTAACCATCCGAAGTAAATCATAGCGCGAAGGGAAGCGGGAAGGAAGAGAAAGGAGAGCGGCGCGTGTAATCTCGTCGATGCAGGGCGAGCTTTGTGCTCCTCTTGAAAAGAATCTCCTCATCAAATCGTTCCGCAATGTGCTGTTTCGCACGTTTCTTTCTTATAAAAAAATATTGTGTAAACAGCTATCGTCAAGTACGATACGAGCTTAGGAAATCTTCTTAACGGATTACATTTTTCCATCGCTAATCATATGTCATTAGCAATTTATTAATAATTTGAAATAGATCAGAAGATGCCGATTTCACAAATGTGTGAAAATTAATGTGTTTTTATATAAACGTATACACATAAACGTGCACGCATTTCTTAAAGGGAGCTTGCTAAACTCGCTTGTATCACTGACAGAGTGCAGTATTTTTCGTAAAAATTTTTCTTACAGTTTTTATAAATTTATAAATCTTTTTCTATAATTAAAATTTATGTATTAATATAGTTTTATTGCGTGGATTTTGTATCAATAATGAGAACAAGTTTTTTAAGTTAGATCTTTTTTACTATTAGCTACTTTATTATAGTGTTCAGAACTGTCAACTTGCTCTGCACAATACGAATTTTTGGTCAATCTCGAGCTAGACATTATTAAAAAATTTAGATATGGCCAGCGAGATTGATAGCGCGCAAACTCGGCAAAACTCGATACAACAAGAAAAACAATAATCCAGTTCAAGTCGGCGAAGCGGGCCGTCTGCTCGCCGAGCGATTGAATATGATTTTTACCTGCAGATCCAATCATGTTCTATTATGTTCAATCGTTTGGCGAGCCACTTTGTCAGCTTACCCGATAATACGAGACACGATAGCGAAAATGCAGAGAGCCAATAATATCCGATACAAAATTAACACATTTCTATCAATTTTATTAATGTATCATCCGAACGATTCTAGGCTGCATCAGAAGCTGCGCATAATTGACAACATTTTTTTTCCTCTAACGCATAACGAATTAATTAACATTCATTAATAATAAGCTCAGGAAAGATTAACATTATATTAAATATATTTTACTCGAAATATTCGAAAAATTAATAAAAGATCAGGGATTATAGGAGAAGGAGAATCAGCGTAATCAAAGAACAAGGAGATATTCAGATTATTCGTCCCATGGACACCAACACATTTAGATATTTTATAAAATAAAGTTCTGTTCACCGAATTGACTCCGCATTAATTATCTTGATTGCTTAATACCTTAATCATACACGCTAAAATAAAACAAATGTTGTAGCTACAAAATTGGCTCGCTAAAGATAGATCTCGCTAACCAATAGATTATATAAAGAATATTGAGTTTTTAAAATTAGGTTAACATTAGACATTTGATACGATGCAAAAAGTTTATAATACAAAAATTTGTGTATCTATGAATGTATATATATTACATGTAGATGTGAACGCTTGTCCATCGAAATTCGCTCGTCTCTCCAGCATCCCCCTTCTTTTAATATCTCATATATATAAACTAATAAACTCATATAAAATGTGCATATATACATTCAAGTAGGAATTATTTTTGATTCTTCAGTTTCCATTTTGAGGTACATCGTATCGACATAGAACACGGATTATTGTTCACTGCCTTTATATGCCTTTATCGTTGTCGAGAATGACGACAAGGAACAGCCGATAGACGCGAATGCGAATGAGAGCCACTGGAATGAGTTTATGTCGCTATATCAAAGAGACACGGAGAGCTCGTATGCGAGTCGCATCCCGACTCAAGCTTCAAAGGGCATTAGCATACCGGCCGCGCGGTATGACTGGGCGTGCGTGTGGGCATCCAGTGGGCACAATTAACTCGTTATCTTATCGCGCCTCGGCGGCGGCAGAGGCGGCGGCGCGGCCCAAACGTTAAGGTTGTACAATCTGCTTAATTTACGCTACGGAGTCCGGCACCGGCGGAACAAAAATTGGACCGCGTCGGGATCACGAGTCGCGAGTCAACCGCCGCGAGAGAACCGCCACCGCGGTTCGAATATGAAGGCGAGCCAAGAAGCTTTGAACCCCAATGACGACCGTGTCGCGCGAGAATGCGTGTGCGTATGCGCGCGGTAGGTCTTTCGAAGGCAAACGCGCACGCATAACATACGAGCAAAGTGCACGGATGCTACTGGTTTTAGCCATACAAAGTAAGAATGTCTCGCGACCTTCGTCGCTAGAATGACGCCGCTGAAAAATCTAATCTCGAATTATGAGACAGTATGTGAGATAAAGTCCCTATCTCGCGGTCTGCGCGGCAGCGTAAAGTCATCTGAGTTTGATTATGTTCGTAATATAAAAAATAATTATATTTAGCAGATAACAACTTACCAAAGTATTGCTGGCATAGGAACAATGTCGACACTTGTACGGTTTGGCGCCTGTATGCAGTCGCACGTGTCTCCGCAAGTTGGAGCAGAGTTTCGTCTTGAAATTGCAGCCATTGTAAGTGCAGGAATAGATTTGGATCTTCTCGGTACTCGCGGAATCATCGTGTCGTATCCTATGCCTATGAAGAATTAATACAATCGCTTTAAAACGGAGCAATGTCAGCGGTAATCGACAATCGTAAAATCTCCGACGCTAACTCGTGCGATTTTCATGGAGGCCATCGTTGCGTGTTTCTTCCGTTAATTAGATACCCTCGGTGTTGAACCACTGACGCACGTAATTAAAGCGTAATGATAGGGATTTACGTATCCGATATACACGATTATTATGCCATTAAATGAAAATTCCCATTGGAATTGAACGGACGCGAAATTTATTGAAACCAATCGAAGCGTTTTATGAAAGTCTGATTAACGCCCGTGCGTTAATACCGGTCAACGCGGCTATTAACGCCAGATAAACTTTCCATGCCGAGGTAAAGTCGATACCGAGTACCTAATCTCGGAGATATATCTGTTGAAGCATCATACCGGTCTCGCACATAAAGTACCCGTTACCGCGATAGCCGCAGAGAGGAATAGGTATGAGTTTGTCATCAGTAGGGAAACCAGCTAAAAGGGAGAAGCAATACCTTTTAGAATATTTCCAGTAGCAAAAGTATTAACAACATCGTACAGGTCAGTCGATTTATAGCATCAGATCATACCTGTCAGACTTTAAAATAACAGTTGCAATCAACAATTCATTAAGCCCCAACAAGTGATCTATTTACATATGCGAAGCGATATCGAGTTTTTTTATCACTCTTTTAGCACGAAATGATAAAAGAGAGTTAGTGGTAAAAGGTAAAATGGTAAAAGAGAGTTAGACGAAAAGTTAGTTGAAATTCGTGCACAATGCATTAGGATTCAATTTTCTAGGACAGCGGATCACGATCAACGAAGGTGAAATAATTTAAACATACTAAAAATAATCGGGGTCGTATTAGTTAATTTATTTATTAAGACTTTGACGTTTCGCGAGCCTCTCATGTTCCCCCATCCCTTTAACATCTGTGGACCAAAAATATCTTTATATAATCAGCGCGCGACAGAGAGGCGCACACACCGAAGTATATATTTTTTGAAAGGGGCACAGAGATCGCATCAGAGGTGTGTCTTCCTCATCGTTTCCCCCTCCTCTCCTCCTTCTTTCCACTGTGCTTCGCGAAGTTCATCGTCGCAGTCACGGCCCGGTGATTATGAACGATATGCGATATGCGTGCACGATATTACGAGGGAGCCGTTGGTCGCGACTACGTGTATATCAGGTTCGAGATGCGTGACACGTTTAATTAAAATCCCGTGTGATTTACTCCGCCGAGCTCAGGCGGCAGGGGGAGAAACGGAATGAGAAAGGGAGAAAAGAGAGAGGGGAGGTGAGAGAAAGAGAGAGAGAGAGAGAGAGAGAGAGAGAGAGAGAGAGAGAGAGAGAGAGAGAGAGAGAGAGAGAGAGAGAGAGAGAGAGAGAGAGAGAGAGAGAGAGGGAGGAGGAGACG